CAAATCATCCTAAAGTAAAAATATAAGAGAGAGAGAGGAGAGAGAGAAACTCAATAAACACACACCACCCAACCCAAAGGTGAAAAGCAAATATGGAGAAAATAGGGAACTCAATAAACACACACCACCCAACCCAAAGGTGAAAAGCAAATATGGAGAAAATAGGGACCTCAATAAACACAACCATCCAAAGGTTAAAAGCAAAAATTTGTCCATTTCCCAGCACCAATGCCTTATAAATCAACCCTCCCCCCTACTCTCTCATCGAAGGCCATCACCACACACACACACACTCTCTCTCTCTCTATCTCAGAATTTTCTCTCTCTACACCCACAATGCCTCCTCTCCTCCTCTTCCTCTCCCTCCTCTCTCTCCTCCTCCCCCATGCCTCATCCCTGGACTACTGTGTAGCTGACCTCTCTCTACCCCCGACCCCCTCAGGATTCCCCTGCAAAAGTCCCTCAAAATTAACATCAGATGATTTCTACTTCACAGGCTTGGGCGTGGCAGGGAACACATCAAACATCATAAAAGCAGCAGTAACCCCGGCTTTTTCGCCTCAATTTCCGGCCGTCAATGGCCTCGGCCTCTCCCTTGCTCGCTTGGACGTGCTGCCTGGTGGCGTCATTCCACTGCACACTCACCCTGCTGGAAATGAGGCTCTGGTTATGATTCAGGGGACTTTGTGTGCTGGGTTTGTTGATACCGCGAATAACGTGTTTCTCCAGACTTTGAAGAAGGGGGATGTCATGGTGTTTCCTCAGGGGCTGCTGCATTTTCAGGTTTCCCCCCCTCCCCCCCCTCAGTATTTATGTGGAGGTCCTTTGCTCTCTCATATATATATATATATATTATTTTATTTTATTTTTTTTAAAGTTTGTTCGAGGTCTGATGTTTTAAATGTCAGAATGTATATTAAAATTATGATTTTAATTTTTTGATACTCGTAGGTCGCTTCGATATTAAAACAATCGAACTGTGACTGCCCTACATCTTTAGTTGGTTCGATGTTAGAAACATCGGACCGCCTTCAACCTTAAAAAAAAAAAAATGAGGTTTAAAAGTGAAAAACTTAATTGGTGCATGTTAAAGAAGTCGTGTTACCAAGTACTTATACATGTACAATCTTAATTGGCCTTAATTGGTAATTTGGTACATGTTCAGGGAACCATATTACTGTTACCAATGCATGTACATCAACGAAACACATACCATGTTACTGAAAACGCGGACCGCGTCCAGACTTCATTTTTTTAAAAAAGTTTAAGGCATACCGACTAAAAAGCGTAAGCCGGTTCGATTTTTGGAACACTGAACCACCCTACAAAATTTACGTTTTATTTTTTTTACATTGAACTAACCTATAACTATTATATATAAAAAAAAATAAAAAAAAATTTTAATATGCTGGATGATGTTTAAAACATCGGATCCTAGACAAACCTGAAAAAAAAAAATGAAAAATAAAGGGGACAAAGACCTCCGCTTGAATATCGTATATTTTTGAACCATCGCATAATCATGGTCAAATAAAACAGTACCAACATATTTTTCCCAAAAGATTGTATATAGGAGACCGCATATCTTTACTACAAGGAAGCCACAATTACTTCTAGTAATTAGATGTTAAAATTGGATGGCTTGAGTCATGTTACGAAATTCAAAAATTCTTTTGAAAACTCTAAATCTAGCCAAAAGCAAGAGCTAACATTGTTCAAATACTTTGAAATGCAGATAAATTCTGGAGGAATTCCAGCCTTGGCTTTCGTTACTTTTAGTAGCCCAACTCCTGGCCTACAAATTACATCCATCGCTCTCTTCGGAAGTAACTTCCCCTCTAAACTCATTGAGGGCACCACCTTCTTGTCCGATGCTGAGGTCAAGAGGCTCAAAGGCATTCTTGGTGGCTCTGGTTAAGCCTTTCCTGCTACCACTCTCTCTCCCCCCCTTTCGTGTGCCTCGTTTCATCTCTCTCTCCTCCTCTTGATCTATCTCCCACATTTAGTGTGCTTTATTTCATCTCTCTTATGTGCCTTACTCCATCTCTCCCCCTCCTTTTGTGTATTTTATTTCTTCTGTCTCCCTTGTGTATAGCTAAGTGGGTTTTGGCTGTGGTTTCTCTCCTTGTAATATTTATCTTGTGGGATGAATGTGGGCTTTGAGGTATGTTGTGTTTGTTTTGAGAAAAAGAATAGCTTTTTTCTGAATAAATTGGAGATTTTTGCATGGGAAGATACAAAAGCACTTATATCAGCTTCTCATAAAGATAGGAGTGTTAGATATGCCAATCTAAAGTTTGAGACCCCACACATGGTTATATCATTTAGACAAAGGGAGATGAGAGATTTTACATAACTTTGAATTATTTTATTGTGAGTTCTCAACAAGAAAGTTAAAGGAGTGTTTAGGTTTTTAAAATGTCAGACATGTAAGATGAGTCCTTATGATGCCGTTACGCCCCAAAAAAGATGAATAGCCGAGGGCTTAAAATGTTTTTTTTAAGATGATTACTAGCAAAATGAGCCATAAAAAACCATCACAGAAGCTCATGTTCAAAGAGATGCAATGTTAAATAAAGGTACACTATGATTAGTTTGACCGTCCATATGGTGAATATAAAGCATTGTATACTACAAGACCATTAATTTTAGTACAAAGAGATTATAAACCTTAGCGATTAGCTGAAAAATCCAATACTTAGGGACATATCATACATTTCGATAAATTTTATTTTGATTTTTGTGCCTAATAAAAAATTATGCGACCCCCACCCTCCCTGCAACAACAAAAAAAAGCTCAAGCAATCCAATTTCACATCCAATAGTTAACAATGGTTGTGATTGTGACCTCCTCATATAAATAATAATAATAATTTTATTGTATACTTTTCTAAAAATAAGAGTGCATTTAGGGTGTTCCCTCGGCAGGAGTACACTAGTTTACTATTTTGGATTAAAGACTTGCTTAAGAAAATTTTCTCCATATGATATTGTTGGGATTCACTTTAGAATTACAAAATGAGTATTTTTTGAAAAAACAAAATTTTGTTTTTAAACACTAAAACCTAATTATTTTCCAACAATAAAATGGTCTCTCTTCAATCTTAAGAGTTAAGCCATGCATGTGTACCACTATCTAGTTAACTCGTGACCCTTGGTAGGATTTGAACTTGGATATCATATTGTTAATGCTAACTTGATATCTTGATAAGAACATAATTCTCGATATTATGTTGTGGCACTCATCTATGTCTAGAGGCCCCATTCCCCCAGCCATTGAAGCGATAGTATACTATAATACGGTATACTATAGAAAATTTATAATCCATAGGAGTGCCAGCAACTATTGAAGTGGTTGAGATCATAGTTATTAAGACCGGACTGAACCGATGGGCTGATCGGTCGCCAATTGATGCCTCAACTTGTTTGTTCCAAGACAAAAAACATGTTCGTTCGAAGATAGGTCAAAATCAATGTTTCATTGGTTTGACTACACATACGGGCTTGTTTTAATCGGTTCGACCAATTAAATGAAGTCGAACATATTGTTTTTAATATATTTTATATTTTTAAACTATTATTTTTATTTTTATTTTTATTTTAAATCCGATCCAATCGATTTAATTAGTACTTGGATTTTGACTTAACCACCTTTTACCGGTTCAATAGTTGGAGCCCACCAACCAGAATAGGACATGCTGCAAAAGGTGGGTCCACTCTCTCTCAATCACTACTCTTTCCATGTGGACTATGTATTTTTCATTACATGGTATGCGCTCTCTTCGTACTATGCATTATGATATGTAGTACATCAAAGTGATATCCACCGTCCGTCGAACATGAACATTGGAGAATAACCATCAAAGAATAGTAACATAAATTATCCACATTACCATTCATCTCAACCATCCATCATTTGAAACGGATGATGGATGTGTCTTATAATAATATTACACTGTTTTTAGCGCTTGGAATTTTTTTTCACTGCGACTGATTTGAAAGTTTTTCGACACCATAACTACAATTTTCCCCAAGATTTGAGGTGGTGCTTTAATTATTTTGATAAGGCTACAGCGCTATCAAAACATTGTACTATTTGTATACAGGAAACTATTTCTTGAGGCGGCGCTTGCATGCGGCAGCACCGCAAATGACTACTTTATATAGACTAAGGACCCGAACCAGCTTGGGGTCCATTCTAATTTGGGGAATTGAGAGCTCCAAAAAGTTTGTAGTTTTGTCATATGCATGACCAAGCTCCGTCTTTTCTTCTTATTTCTCTTTTCTTATTTTGTTTGACATGTTAATGGTGTATGAATGAAAATTTTGAAATCATGTCGTGGCTCTATCAAACTGACTACCTATGTATGCCAAGGGCCCACTCCTAAAAATCAGCACTATTTACACCACACCTTTTGAAGATCTGTGTACCACTTCATCACATTCATAGGATCTCCCTCAAGCATCATAACATTCTTGCCACCTTTGAACTGATTAAGCTTTGAAGCATAGCCCTGGCCTCTACCTCATTTAACAAAACCTGTTACTAGGTGCCATGGCGTCTTTTGATCACCTTTGTACCGCTTGATAACATTGATGGAATCACCCTCAATCATAATCCTCTTCTTGCCAACCCCTAGAGGTGTCGGGCAGCCCGGCGGGAGCGGCAACAGCTGCACAATATCCCTCAAGGACAAAGTTGAAAATAATAAATTATTGGGGTATTTTTATGGAAGTGAAGTCATTATTTAGGAGTTCTAAATTGGTTAGGAATTATCCAGTTGGAGTTCTAATCATGTAGGACTTGATGGTTAGATAGTGATAAGGATGAGGGACCACCTAATTTAGAGATTTTGGATAAGCTTTGGATAGGAAAGGGATTAGGTCAAAATATGTACATGACTGGCCTTGAAGTTCTTTTTGGAATAAGTTTTCATCATAGCATGAGGTTTTAGAGAGAGCAAGAGAGAGATAGAGGGGGAGAGAGATTGTAGAGAGAGATGTTTAGAGAGGTTTCTTTTTTCTTTTTTTTTTTGTACTCTGGCACTATTTTTTTAGTAGACCGTAGTTCTACAATATAAGGTTTGTATCTTCGTATATACTTTTTCCATTTTGGGTGCAGTTGGCATACAGATGCATCGTAGCTGTAGAGGTAAGGTACACTTTCAAATTTTATCATGATATATAATTTTGATGTAAAATATTTTTAGGATTATCTCTAAATCTATTTTTATATCTAATTATAAATTTTTAAATTTAAAAAATGGTTAAAATCAAGTAGATCAATAGACATATGAAAATCTTGAAAATGGTCCGTGTAGATACTATGTTGTAAAATGCACTATTTTTGAGGTTTAAAATCTTTTTATTTTTCATGGTCATACATCTCGATGTCGAGAAGATCAATCAAAGGGTTTTTCAACATTAAAACTACCTTTTTCCGATGGATTTTTGAGGTGCATCCATAGTTCTACATTATAAGGTTGCATCCTTATATCAACTTTTCCTTTTGTAGTAAGGAGGTAGTTAGCATCATATTATAGAAATGGGGGCTTGGCAATAAATATATTTTTTAAATATAATTTGATTCTAATTTTTGGAGTATATATAAATCTTTAACATGAAAATCATGAATATAAAAAATATATATATATAAATCTTTAACATGAAAATCATGAATATACAAAAAAAAATAAATAAATTGAAAATTAAAATTAATAAATTATATTACAAAAATTTGGATGGTTAGTTACAATTGTTTTTAAATGGACCAACTATTTACGTCCATCTTTAAGATAGATGTTTTATACCTTGGACGCATATTGTAGGTTTCTAGCGTATGCATGGTTTTATTTGTGTGTTTTCGATTTTGCATGGGGACTCAGAGTTGGAAGGGTAAATAGGGCAGGAATGGCCTTTGAGCTGCCGCGAGGTGGCGGGTTTGATTTGAGGTCCCAAGTTAAATAAAAATAATAATAATAATTAAAATAAAAATATTTAAGAGTGGGTATAGTATAGTACCACAGGAGCATACTGTACAATAACTCCTTCAAGCAAAAGAGTAACTTGCAATAATTTTTTAATATGAAAATTTGGGATCAGGCTAGTATTATCAAATGTTTATATTTAAGGAAAAAAAATAATTGAAGTTTAAGGTCTTGAACATCTTAATCTTGCCCTCCAAAAATTAGAGGATTCTTTTTCAATCTAGGGATGTCGAATTTTTTTAGGCACGTAAAGAGTTCTATTTAGTTTTTTTTTCTTTTTGAGATTGATTGTTAGTTTCTAAAGGCTACATGCTTAAAATGGGATCAAACAAATATTTCTAACAAGATTTTTACCTTAAGGTAGCAAATACGCACTAGAAAATATTTCTAAGATGAGCCTTTAACTCAATGGAGAAAATGTATAATATGCTCCCGCAGGAGCAGCAAATCGTTTCACTAGCTTCAATTTCGATATCTTAGTGCCCATCGGTACTAGCTGCTTGGAATCCCAATGCTACCAACATGATTATTATATTTCATGATAATTATAATCAACCTAAATTGAATATATCAAGCTAATTTAGTTGAACATGATGTTGGACTTTGAATCAAATCAATAACATACTTACAACCACCCCATTTAAAATCTGGAGAAGAGTGATTATGATCTCATTGTATTAAAAGTTATGGTCTATTTATATATATATATTCATAATAAAATGTTAAGATAATTAATTCATAGAATCTAATTTTAGGTTTCTATAAGGTTGCAACCTTAAACAATCCACTTAAAGCGCACCTCCAAATTTTATCATAACATATAATTTTGTTGTAAAAAATTTGTAGGATTATCTTAAAATCTATTTTCATATCTAATTAGAAGATTTTAAACTCCAAAAATAATTAAAATCAAGGAGATCTAAACATATAAAAATCTTGAAAATGGATGGCCTAGATAATGTATTGTAAGATGCACTATTTCTGAGACTCAAAAACTTTTTTGTTTATATTTATACATCTCAATATCGAAATGATCAAATACAGGGTTTTTCAACTAGACAACCTTTCCGATAGATTTTTGAGGTGCATATGTAATTCTACATTTTAAGGTTGCAACCTTATATAAACTTTTGTTGCTTCATTCTAGAGCTATAAAAAAGCATGATTTTTTGGTGATATAATAATGGCCCCTCAAACATTATTGGCTAAAAAAGTGAAGTTAATCATTACTAAGTAAATAGGAAGACAATTTAAAAAGGCATCTTTCCTTCCATTACTAAAAATACTAATTAGATAAAACGAAAACTAAATAAATAAATGGAAATCTATTAAACAAGAAAATAACCTCTCCCTCTTTATGTAAAAGATGCAGGTTTTTGTAACAGCTAAATTTGAAGCTCTAGAAATGGCATGGACTGTGCATATTGAAGCTCCAAATATTGGAGCTCGAAAAATGGCGTGGATTGAGTATATGTCTAGAAATAGACAATTCAAAAAATATACTATAAGATAAATCATTTTTAGGGCTCAATACCTATTTTTATTTTAGATATGTGATCGTCAATGTTGAGTTTCACAAGTTTTCCAACATCAAAATTGCCTCTTATAGCGAGATCTGAAGAGCAGATCTATGAAATACTTGCTAATTTCTAAAATAAATTTATGTGAAGCTATATTGCCAAAATATTCATTCAATATCCACTTAGTGGGAAGACAACTTGAATATAGATCAAACTAGGGCCATTATCCACTAGAAAATGGGAAGAAAACTTGTCTATATAAGATCAAAGAAGGACCTCACTCTTGGAAGACAACTTGTCTGCATAAGATCAAACAAGGATAATTTTGGTGATCCTCACTCTTGGCTATGTGGATCAAACGAGGATAAATTCGGCGTTGCTCTTTCTCACTGATTGTGATCTCTCTCTCTCTCTCTGTTTGCAAATTGGGTAAGTCCAACTCAGAACCGCCTGGGCATTGGCAGATCTAGTTTTGGTAGTCCGAATAGGTATTTAAAAAAAAAAATCTTAAAAAATAAGAGATTTATTTGTAAATGTTATTTTTTTTTTTTTTATCATTTTGGCAGAGATTAGAAAGTGTTTTTCTATCTTTTTTAAAAAATTTCAAAAATTCTTTGATCGCAAAAACCTCCAACCCGAAAGTAACATAAAATAAGACTAAAATACCCTCGTTTCTTTTCACACGGCATTCTCTCTCTTGTTTCTTTTCACATAGCCTTAGGCTCCAGTAGTCCTAATGCGCGTTCAGGCAGTGCTTTGTCTAACCCGCATCGCTCCGGCATACTACGCTCCGGTAGTGATAATGCACGCTCTGGCAATCTGAGAATGCGCTCCGGCACTGAAAATACACACCCCTACAATGTAGCACCGCGCTCTGGCAGTAGTATACTGTGCTCCGGCACTACTCTATTTGAGATCGCGAATTGATTTGGTTAGTATGGAAAGGGCATTTCTCTCCAAAAATTAAGAACTTTTTATTTTGGGGGGTTTTTGTGAGGAAAGGTTGTCTGGAGAAAAAAAGTGTGAGAAAAAATTGAGGTGGGGTAAGTTGCATAGATAGATAGTTTATTTTAAGATGTATTTTGTAATTTTTTTCAAAATTTTCATAATTTTTTGATTTTTTTTATTTTTTTAAACACTTTTTTAAACCGGTTGGACATACCCAATTAGGCCAATTGAACCGGTTATTGGGACCCAGCCCATCGCCGATTATATTTTTCGAACACTGCTCTCCGTAAGCCAAATTGGGTACATGAACATAATACTTTTTTTTTTATAAGATTATAGTTGGGTTAATTTGTTATCCTAAAAAAATGTTGGGGTCATCTTAGTAAATGCTATCTGCAAAAAGAATCCAGTGGGCAATCATTTCTACAACCCAAAACATTCGGCTCCTGAGTGGCCCTAACCAACTTTGCCAGGTTGGATTCTCCTGTATTCCTCAAAAACCAATGACTTCGAATACCCCATCTTTACCTATAAATATCTGAACCACCCACTCTTTATCAAAATGACAAAAAACAACCCTCCTTTCCCTTCTATGACCCAAAATGCCCCCTCTCCTAATAAGCACTACGAGGTGGATGCTTCGTAAACAAAATGATTGGGGTGGGTTCAATTATAATATGAGCCAGCTTCAAGCTCAGTGGCCTAAACCCAACTTAATGAACCGATTTTAGAAAAAACAGGTCGGTTGGACCGATAGGCCCCCTTAAAAATTATCTGGATCGGCAGTCTAGATCGGAAATCAAGTAGTGTGAATCAGTCAATAAAAAATAAAAATAAAAAAACATTTCAAAAATAATAATAACAATCAAAAGTTGGGCCAGATCGACCAATTTCCCGACAAAACTAGCTGGCTCCTAACGGGAACCAGACGGTTCCCAATAATAGTTTGTCCCGCCAATTTTTTATTCGAATTGGATAATTATGATCCAAATCAGATTTTTAAACCCTTAGAATGAACAATTAGTTATTGGGGTGTTCCCTGGATGCAAATGCTCAAAGGGCTTGGTTTTTCAGCTTGGGCCCATAATCATGAACTAACTTAGTCAATTGGGGCCAAGCTGAACCTTACTAGCAGATCTTACGAGTTAGTCTAACTACACTGCTTAAAAACTTATTTGCTTTGGCATGAGGCTCTAGTTCATTAATTTCAGACTTGAACCAAAACCTTTAGTTTATCTTTTGGACATAGTTGAGTGGAGACTTATAGCTAGAATCATCATCGTCCATCATCTTCTGATCACCAACTATTTGAATGATGTTTTGCCATTCTTTTATGATGATTCATGAAATATATGTGGTAAAAGTTTTACTTTTAAACCTTAAGACGGGCAGACCAAGTGCGCTCCCGAGATAAATAGGGGAACTTAGCTACCAACCTAGTACAACCCATCTCCTTTATCCGGACTTGGGTCTATTCATGGTTCCCTTCCGGATTGTAAGACAATCGGCTTGTTCCCGATATATGGTGGGATCTCATTCATTCTTAATCCAAATCGAACAATTCTGATTTGGATCGTCATTTTTTAAAAAAAAAAAATTATATAAGTGTGAGGCTTTAAACACTCAAATTAGGGCACACATCAAAATTTTTATTAGAAGAGATTCTTTTGATGCCCAAATATCCTCAAATTGATCATCTCGACCTCGAAAAGATGGACATGAGAAAAAAATGGTTTCAGGTTTTTAAAATAGGATTGTATACAATGTGATCATTTACCTTTAGAATAGGGAAGTCACAATTATTTATAACCATCCGATGTGAAATCTGATAGCTTGGGTATGTCATAAAGTTTGAAAAAATTTCTTTTGAAGTTTGAACTTGGTCAGTGAAATAAATGTAGCCACCCAATTTCACATCTAATGGTCTAGATTAATTGTGACCACCTTATACAAAAGATAAATAGTCTCATTATATACTTTCCTTTTGAAAATGGCGTATCTTGTGATGCATTTTTAGACTGTCAATTTTCAAGATTTTCATTTTTTTTTTGTAGACCTTCTCGATCTACACTATTTTTTAAACTTTAAATTTTTATAATTAGAGATGAAAATATATTTTAAAGCTATCACAAAAATTTCCTGTATTGAAACCATATCTCTTAAGATTTCCTGTATTGAAACCATATCTCTTTACGCTTCAAATTGTGCTTTATTTTGATTGTTTAGAGCCTTATCTTTATACAAACCGCACCCTGGAAAAAATTTATATAAGGTTGCAATCTTAAAATATAGAATTAAAGATGTACCTCAAAAATCCATCGGAAAAGGTTATTTTAATGTTAAAAAACTCTTTAATTGATCAACTCAACATCGAGATATATAAACATAAAAAAAAAAATATTTTTTGAGTTCCGGAAGTAGGTAGTGCATCTTGCAACATATTATCTACACCATCCATTTTCAAAATTTTCAAATTGTTTATAGATCTATTTGATTTTAATCATATATGGAGTTTAAAATTTTATAATTAGATGTAAAAAATTATTTTTAAATACTTCTAATAATTTTTATACTAAAATTATATGTTATAATAAATTTTAGAGGTTCGCCTTAAATGGATAGTTTAAGGTTTGCAACCTTATAGAAACCACACCCTGTATAAAACCCAAATTACAGCCATTCGAGCCAAGGCCATGATAGTTACGATAAAATTTTGAAGGGCCAATTTGGTAATTGATAAATGTTTGAGGACTCTTTATTCTAACAGAAAATAAAGGGCATTTTCGTCATTACGGCCCTCTATTTACTCATGCTCTGCCGTAACCTGCAAACTCGTGGGAAAAATCAATTTGAAAGTCTTAAGCCCTCCTCGCCATGAGCCTCTTCGGCTTAGGCAGCAGGTACCCTCTTTTGTTTTGCTTTTGTTTTCTTTTTTTTTTAACATAATTATTTTGATATTTTCCTCTCTCTTTTTTTTCAAATTTTGTTTTTTTGGTTCCTTTTGTTTTCTTTGAATTGAATTTCATTGATTGCTCTTTCTTTCTGAAAAAAAAATCAGCTCATTTTTTGGCTTTTTCTGAAGATTCCTGGGTGAATTTTCAGAATTTTCCAAATTTAGCTGATTCGTGATTATTTTTGGACTGGATACATTTGTTGTTTCACGAGGTGATGCTTTTTCTTAATTTTTTTCATTTAATTTGAGTTTGGGATCACTTATAAATACCAGTGTGGCGTTTTCTTTTGGAGTTCACTTTGTTTTTGACGAATTGTTGAGGAAATTAGGTTAAGAAATGGAAGAGTCCGGGTGATTCTCGTGAAGACTGTGACTTATCGCATTTGAATTGATGTTATTTATGAAATTTCTGGAAATTATGCTGAGAGATTCAGCCTTTTTTTACGAATTTTTTATCAAATTTTTCTTTTTTTTTGTCTTCTGCTCTATCATATTTTCGGAAAAACTCTTCTGTGTAAAATTGGCAAAAAAATAAGATTGTCATGCATTAGAACACAACCGTGTTGCTCAATTTTCAAAGATTGTTTTTTTTTTTTTCTCATCCACTTTTATTATGTAAATTTTAGTTGCAGTTCATTGTATTTTTTGAGAATTCCCTAAGATCTCATGATCATTTCAAATATGTAAAAGGAATTTCCTGATTTTGATTCCTTTTTGCAGAAACTTTGTGTCAGCAATTGTATTTTCTCATGTGATTATGTACTTGAAAGTTGGATTTATTTTTATGACAAAGTTCAATCTGTGAAATATTAGGAATATTTTCTTGATAATTTATGTCATTAGGAAGTAATGTGCAATAATTATATGATATATCACTTACTTTTCTTTTCTTTTCTTTCTTTTTTTTTTTTTCCTGATTCAGGAATCAGAAGACCTTTCGGCCGAAAAAGAGTGCACCATCAGGAAGTAAGGTTGGTTTTTCTTCTCTCTTTTGTTCATTTTCCTCCATGCAAAATGACAGTAGTTTTTACCAATTTACTCTAACCATTTTTTTAATTTTCTACAACCTTTTTTTTCTTCATTTTCTTCCTTGCATTACAATAGTGGTTTTTTCTTCTCGAGCATGGATCTTTTCTATAACTTTTATTTATTTGTTTTATCAAATATTTGAATATTAGGCCATCCTGCACATGTTTAATAATATGAAAGAATCATATCAAGGTTCTTTAACAAGAATCAGCACCACCTATCTCTGATCAACTTTCTGTCTATTGGCCTAGAGCCTCATCTTTGTCTTAACTCAAGTGGTCGATAATATGTGAAAAGTAGCCTCATGAAAGAGTTAGAACTGGTTCAAAACTTTGGGTCTTAACTAGCAAGTGTTTTTTGTGCCTACTCTTAAATTATCTAAGCACATGTCAAGACCAATAGGCTGGATTTTGCATGTCAAATTTGATTGTGTCAAATTTGATTGATGGAATTGTTTCAAGGACGTCAAGCCTGCAACTTCGTACCTTATAGGTTTATGTTATATTACATTGTTATGACAAACATGTGAAATGTTTGTTAGTAGCTAAATTTTGGTATTTCAAATTTGATTGGTGGAAAATTTTTCAAGGACTTCAAGTCTGCAACTTTACTGGCTTTCTCTCTACAGTTAATGCTTTATACCTTATAGCTTTATGTCATATTGGATTTACTAAGAATTATGGAGAAAATATGTGAAATGTTTGTTGTAGCCAAAATTTGAGTGTTTCTTTACTATATGAGACAAGGTAAAAGGTTCAAATGTTGGTTTGATTATGATATTATGGATATGGGGTAGATGAGAACGTCCGAAAATTTTGTTTAAGTATAATGGATGTTGTTTTCCTATCTCAACATGCCAACTTATTTTGTCTTGACACAGGGTGCACAGCTTCAAAGGCACATCGATGCTACTTTGGGTAGCGGGAACTTGAGGGATGCTGTAAAGCTTCCTCCAGGGGAAGATGCCAATGAGTGGTTGGCGGTCAACAGTATGGACACTTAGCCCTTGTTGATTTCTCATGTTTCTCTTTTAATGAGGAAAATCCAGGTTATGTAAAACCTGCAATGAGAAAAATCACAAATAATATTTTTTTTCAATTTTTGTGCAGTAACAATTCACTAGCTGTTGACCTGTTCCAATATGTTATCATTTTTATTCATTGCATTAAGATTACTGCCTGATGGCTTGAATATAAATGCTGATAACGTATGATGAATTTTCTAGTATTTCTTTTCGTTTTCTTATTTCTGTGTTATGCTTTTCAGCGGTGGACTTTTTCAATCAGGTGAATATGCTATATGGCACACTTACGGAATTCTGCACATCAAACACCTGTCCCACAATGACTGCAGGACCTAAGTAATTTTCTGTCATTATCTTCCTTAATTATATTCTGAACTATATTAATATGCATGGAGATTTAAGCAAAGTCCTTTTGGTGCAATTCTTCTTTCCTGTTGAGATGTTGTTCATTCTCTCTTTTCACTGCTGAGAATGCCTCCGATGGTTCTCAATCCCTTGCCAATGTGAAGTCTATGTGCGCATTTATTCTCAATGTTGGAATGTGTCTTGAATCACGAGTAACATCACGTGAGATTGCTTTTTGGTGGTTCATGTTTTATAACAAGTGATTGCTAGTGTTTCCATTTGTGAAAATGCCGATTCTTATGTTATAGGAAACAATAATTAACCATTTAAACTTACTAAAATTAGGAGATTGGGTTCTCATGTGATTGCCTCTTAGAGTTTCTATCTTTAGCATTTTGTAGGAGAGAGAATATTGAGGAAGAAGGTATAGAGAAACTTGCATACATAAGAGATGCTTCATAAAGGTGAACAGAAGTCTATGTGATGGTGAGAGGCATTATGAGAGATCGAGATTGCTTGTGTTCTCTAGCACTCTCGTGAAAGAGCCATCATGTAACATTGCTTGTGCATAGTGAACAACATCAATAATCTTTGCTCCTAGATGTAGTCACATTTGTTACGAACCACGAAATCGTGGGTGCCTTCTTGCATTTATTTCTTTCTTGTTCTTGGTTTTGTTTGTGATTTGTGTTTGCTTGTGGGTTGTTATTTTTCTTGCCGTTTACATTGCCATAAATCAACCCGCATGTTCTAGAGCTTCAGCATACAACACTCATAAACATACATGTCATGTTTGAGAGCTTCCACACGCAACAGTCAAAAATGTGTTTTGTCTGAAGTCCAAACATTGAGCGCCCTCCTTCTAGAGTTGCCATCTTGTCATCGAACTTTAGCCCATTATTTTACCCCTCAAGAGTTTAAGGAAAGGAAAAGCTCAAACACCATCAGTTTGAAACTTAAAATTTGAAAGAAAGCCTTCTCTAGAGTATAAAACCGTTTGAGGTGACCTTTAGGTTTCTCTCCTGGTCCAACTAGAACATAAGTTATGGCTTGAACATCCATGGCTTATCTTAAGTTCTAGTTATAGTTACAATTGACCTTTTCTAAGGTGCATAGAAACTACATGCAGGCAAGGGAAATGCATGATGTAAATGTATAATGAAAATATTAAATATATTGAAATTAAACAATTTTCTAGGGAAGATTGAATTTTGTTTTTTATTTAGGTAAGATATTTACCTAAAGAAACACTCAGAGTTATTGTAGGATATTCTTGGTTAGTTCTATTTAAAAAAGGATAAAACATAAAATGAATTTATGTCTAACAATATGGAAGTCTATTATCACATAGAGTTCGAAACGTTCTAAAGAAATGTAAACGAAATATGACGGTATAAGGAGAAACATGGGAAAAAAGACAAGTGGTGAAGGAGAGGTTCAAAGGTTAAAGACACAAAATAGGAATGGGTAAACAAACGTAATTTTGAAAGTTAAGATGTAGGCAATATTATGATTTTCTTCCTCTGTCCTCACGGCCCATTCTTTTTATTTGGGTAAATAAGTGAGGGAGAAGGCCCTCTACCTATTTTTCATTAATAAAAGATAGGAAAACAATTACATCATACTATTTTACAACCCTACAATAGGGTAATTCTGCCACATCATGAAGTAAGGGAAGGTTAAAAAAATCTGGAGTCCTAGGGCACCAAATGGTGGCCTCCACAAAAATTGTAGCTTTTTTGGCAAGAACATCGGTCACCATATTAGCCTCACGATAAACATAGCAAATGGATCATGAATGATTATCAAGTCTAAACTTGCAATTAGCAGAAATGGTATGAAGAGCCCATGGAGCTTTATACCGGTCTTGTATGACTTGGACAAGTAAGGTAGAGTCACTCTCAATTTATAGGGGAAAGCAATCCAATTGAATGGCTAAATCAACACCCTCATTGAAAAAGCAGCAACAAATGATCCATCATCCCGTCTTAAGACGGCTCCACCACCAGCTCGACCTGGGTTTTGAATGGAAGACCCATCAACATTTAGCTTAAAATGATATAAATATGGAATGGCCCATGCCACTGTTATGGGTAACTTGATCTTTTGGTGCTGCCACATACCTCATAAGTTCTCAGTAATTTCCTTTTTTGAGATGTGGTAAGTCCATGCCTTAGCATCTGCCGCGATCATCCGAATCAACTTCTCGTGAATGTGTGTCCTCCTGTAAAACGTGTGGTGGTTCCGCTCCTCCCAAGTCATCCATATAGTTGTGAAGAAAAAAGAACGCCAAATGTTAATAATACCATCAGACCTGAATGCTAACCACTTCCTCAGTGTAGCTACAATGGAACAATCTGTAATAAAAACGTTTGCCACATCTCCATGCTATCAACCTCCAAATCCCCTATGAGAAAACACATTCAAGCAATAGATGGCAAATATTGGCATCATTAAAATGACAAAAAAGGGCACACTGAAGCAATGGTGATTCCCCTCCGTTGCATGAGTGATGAGATTGGAAGACGATGATGAAGGCTTAGCCAAGAGAACCATTTAGCCCGTGGATAACACTTAGAACTCCACAATGCTTTGAAAACCGGAAAAGAACCCTTACGTCCGATGAAATTCCCTGCCTCTTTAACAAAAAACATTCCATTTGAAGAGTGGATCCATATTAAAAAATCAGGTTTGGGTTTCAGAGGGATTAAAGCAACCTCCACTTCCTTCCAAATTCTAATCCATTGATTCCAGGTTCTAAGTGCAGGGCCTGATGTAGGGGTAGGGAAATACCAGGATGGTGGAGAACCATATACGTAATCTGTGACCCTAGGTTTGGCAGAACTTCTCAGGTCCTTCCGAATACTGGGACCATAAGATTCCAAAATGGATATCTCTGATAACCATGGATGTACCCAAAAATCAACTGTCTTGCCATCCCCAATAAGCCATCAAACATTGTGGTTTGAATGCCCTACCATACTTAGGAGCAGGTCTTCCTATCAACTTTAGGGCCCATTCTTTTCCATTGGCCATTGTCATGTTCGACGCCCATCAAACTCGGTATGGTTTAGATTTCTCTTCTCTCTTCTCTCACTTTAAATTGGATAAATTTCCATTGAAATAATCAAATCGATTGCTATAAATATTTGATATGATAATTCAAGTGAATTTGCCTAGAAACTATTGGTATTCTTATTGTTTTCTTTAACACCTAAACACCTAGATCTAACCGTCCAAAAATTGGATAGCCTGTGTGCAATCTGAGGGCATGATTTTTTTCATAAAAATCTGGTGAATATTGAAGTTTTTTCTTCTTTTCATGATTGGTCACTAGATTGAGTAATCCACTTCCACAAAATTTATGTCCTAAAAATACTCCTTGCTAGGGTATTGTCCGAGGAAGCATATGTCCATTTTTCTGCTGCAGGAGTATATAATCTTTTTTTTTTCAGATTATAATTAGAATTGTGGTTTTTCTGTGATCAAGTGGTTTTCTTAAAAACCACTTAACTTTGGTTTTGATGGAGGGCCAAAATTGGAAAGTGTCTCTCCTAGAATTTTTAATCCTTGATGCTGTGTCCTATGATGGGATCTTTAAATTAAATCAATGAAATAGGTAACACATTAAATAGTTCATCTCTTGGGTTCACTTTCCCTTTCTCTTTGGGAAGTGAGGTTGGTTGCATGAGAAATGATATAGTTAATACCTGCTGTAACAGAGAATTTATTAGTTTATAAGGACGCATAGCAAAAAGTTAAATGAATGAGAAGCTATGCGTGTAATACTATAGGAAATGAAATCAACAATTTGACTTGGTCTGGATGCTCAACCAAGTCTGTCAAGTTAAAAGAGTTAAGCACAATTAAGCACCAAAAAGCATTAATCTTGCCAACCATGTTAATCATAACAACATACATCATGGGCTCTTGTTGTGGCAGAAAATTTGGAGGGATTAAGTGGGAGTTCTTGTGGAGGGTTGGCACCAAGGGGTAGAAGTTCCATTTAGTCAATTGCGAGGAACATTTAAGGCTAAGAACATATATCCTTGGATCAAGACATTCAAAGAGGTGAAGAAGGCTCTTATATAAAATGCCTGCTGAGATTAGTTATTGTTGTGATGGTGGGTAGGGTGTTGGTGCTTTGAGTGGGGTAAGAATAGATGCTATTCATCCTTGGTTTTTCTGCCAACCAATCTAGCCCTTAATACAGTTGACCTGTTCAACCCAAAGCAACCACTTTTCTCTATTTTGGTGTTCGGTTCAGTCTTCTTAACTTAATATCTTCTTTTAAAGTGAAATTCTTGCCAATTTGTATTTGTAGTAAGTTTTCTTATGATTGAATTTCATCATGCCGCTTCTTATCATATCTCAAAGTTTAAATGTTCTAACACATAGAGGTGCCACAGGTATGAGTATAGATGGGCAGATGGTGTCCAGATAAAGAAACCAATTGAGGTATCTGCACCAAAATATGTGGAGTATTTGATGGACTGGATCGAAGCACAGCTTGATGAAGAATCCATATTTCCTCAAAAACTTGGTATGGTGCTCTTATATATGCCATGTCTTGTGCCATGCCTGAACTTCATTACTGTGTCTTTTTATTAGAAAAGGATCGTGTGCTCCCTATGGGGGTTACAATTCATATCCTTTGTAGGGGTATCCAACATCCATCTGTTGATGGATGGAGAACATTTGTTAGGCCAGCAAGGTCTGATCATACTATATTTGAAAAAGTAAAAATTAAGGCCCCATATGGATGTCCACCTTTCTAGCCACAGGGTTCAAACTCCTTTATAGTTGCGCCAGATTAGGTGGCATGCCAGCTTGGCACACCATCATTCATGGACGCAACTTCAGGAGTGAACCCACTTACTGGTAAATGCCACCAATAGCAGGGTTCTGCTAATGGCAAAAAAAGAAAAGAAATATACGTCTACTGCCATCAGCAAAAAATGTAGATGTTGCTCCAAGTGTTTATATTCAACGATGAGGGCCACTTTTTATGACAGCTCATTTAGGCAGGTAATATGAGGCCGGGATATGGCTATATGGTGTCCAAATGGGGCCTAAGAAAAAATATTTTATCTTGGTATTTGAAAAATATATAAAATAGAGATTTATAATTTTTTTTTACAAGGTAAAGAGTCTTCCTGTCAATCTTTTATTTATATTTGAATGTTAATTTTCTTTCCCTTAAAATATATTGAAAAACTTCTCTAAAAAACCAATGGAGCAATCTAGTGATATAGGTAAGAAAAACATTTTTTTTGAATTCCTGCAAAATTTTGATATCTTACTTTTTTATGTACATAAGGACATGGTTGGAAGTAGTGAGAAAAGATATGGGGACTTATGGTCTCACTGAAGGTATGACCCTTAATATAGCAGATGGTAGACCAGGATTAGTGTAACCGACCCCAATTAGTTGGGAAAAGGTTTTGCCGATGATGATGACTTTTTTATGTACTGGTTTTGCAAGATGGAGCTTCAATGTGCTGTATTTCTGATAGATGGTGAGTTGTAGTCTTAATTTTCCATTATGATGTTTGGCACAGGGACACCATTTCCACCCAATTTCAAAGATGTGGTGAAAATTATATTCAAACGCCTGTTCCGTGTCTATGCCCACATCTACCATTCGCATTTTCAAAAGATTGTTAGTCTCAAGGAAGAAGCCCATCTCAATACTTGCTTCAAGCACTTCATTCTTTTTACCTGTGTATGTATTCTTTGCTCCTTTGCAAACATTTCCCTTGACTCATGGTGCTCTCTCTCTCTCTCTCTCTCTCTCTTTGTTTTCTGCCTATCTGCTTGTTCGTGTGGTGTGTATGTGCTTACCAAAGCTTTTGTTGCTCTGTATTTTCTTTTGTTCTTTCTCTTAATTCCTTTTTGGTAGGAGAAATGGTTTAATATATTCAAGAAACATATAAGCAAGTATTGCACAGATAATTAATGGTCTGATGGATTTTGTGATGCAGGAGTTCCATTTGATTGATAAAGGGGAGCTTGCACCCCTTCATGATCTGATTGATTCCATTATTCATTCTTACTGATGAAAGACAAAAATGTTTGGAACATTGTGTCCATTAATGAAAGAGAGGATTTGTTTCACTTTCTTCAAAAGACTGGCTTTTCACTGAAACTTTTTGAATGTGCTGAAAAATAATACCAAACTTGTATAGCAATCTGCAAATCTTATTGGTGTTCTTGGTGTTGTTTCTTTCTTGTGTTGTCTCTCATCAACTGATCTCTCTCATGCTCTGATCATTGGACATCAGCATTTTTCTAGCATAATTTTGAGATGATATAAGCTAAATGACGATTATCCTCATCATGATATTATCATTGACTAATTTTTTCCCGATATCATGGGCTGGGTTCCTTGTCGGTCACTTACTGATTGGTTACTTTTTGAAAATTCAAAATTCTTAGCTATCTTTGATAAAATGATAAAATTTAGCTTTCAAAAGGGATAATAATTCAAATTGCAACTTAGGCCATTAGTATATTTCATATTAATAAAATTATATTTTAGTTAATATTTTTGGAAAATTGTTTTTAAGATGTCTATTGCTGTCTGTTATTATCATATATGTTTTTTTTGGGGTAAATATCAGGCAAGCCTATATACCACGATAAATTGATTTTGTCATGATAATATTAGAAAAAATATCAGTCTTGATTTTCTCATAATAAAATCATGATAAAATCAAATTATCGTTGTCACTGAGGCTATAGGATGCCCCAGTTGTAGGAGAGCACAATTGCCCTCCTGATGCTTCTTGCCTGCTGCCTTTCTTAAGGTCTTCTCATTATAGTTAAACATGTTTTATATTAATCTCAAAACCATGAATGAAGTTTCAAAAATACTGGAAACATCAATCTAAGAAAAAGCCTTCTCATTAAAGTTAAACAGGTTTTATATTAGAGAAAAGTTTATATAAGGTTGCAACCTTAAAATGTAGAATGACAGATGCACCTCAAAAATCTATCTAAAATGTTGTTTTAATGTTGAAAAACACTCTAATCGATCATCTCGACATCGAGATGTATGAATTTGAAAAAAAAAAAAAGTTTTTTTAGTCCTGAAAATAGTGTATATTGCAACACATTATCTAGACCGTCCATTTTCAAGATTTTCATATATTTATAGATCTACTTAATTTTAACTATTTTTAGAATTTAAATTTTTTTAATTATGTGTGAAAGTAGATTTTAAGATAATACTAAGAAGTTTTTACGACAAAATTAAATGTTATGATAAAATTTTAAAGTGCACCTTAATTGGATTGTTTAAGGTTGCAAGAAACCGCACCCTTAGTTTCTAAAATATTGGAAACATCAATCTAAGAAACCGATTCTCTCTCTCTCTCATCTTTATTGAATGGATTTTCTGACATGCCACACCATCCTTGTTGACCATTCCCATACAATCACAAATCAGCCTATTAAAACAGAAATACAAGCCACTGCTATAGCCTTCTACCACTTTACACACCTGTAGAATTAAGCATCTGAATAACTAGCTTATAGTTTACACAACTGTAGATTTAGGCATCTGAATAACTAGCTTATGGTTATAGTTTCCAACTAGTTAGTAGGGACTGGTGACAAGAAAGAGAGAGAGTGTGTGTATGTGTCACAATTCAGAACTGAAAGCTTCTAATGCCTTACTAGACCGTGCAGGCATCCATTTGCAAATTCATTGGGAATTCCGCAAGGATTGCGGAAAAGAGAGAGAGCTCATCAGAGAGCTAGAGAGAGAAAGGGAGATTTATTATTCTTGATCAAATTCAATACTTAGAGAGCTATTTTTTTTTAACGTTAACTTTGGTTCTCAGAGAGAGAGCGCTCTTTATTATCCAGTAACTTTGATGGTGTGTGTGTGTGTGAGAGAGAGAGAGAGCTCTATTATCCAGGGTAACTTTGGTGATGAGAGAGTTCAGAAATGAAAGCATTTATCTCAGCTTTGCCAAACTGCGCATATACCAATTTGGAAACTCATCCACATTTCAGCAAGGAATGCCAAGAGAGAGAGAGAGAGCTTTATTATCAATGGAAGCTTTGATACAATCAACACTTCTTCCCATGGAACAAAACCATTTCAATTCATGCAGAGAACAATGCATGAAGAAATTTCCTGTGTCCATCACCAACAAACAACCTTGCAACGAACAATCCGCTGGCTCATCCAGCCCTCAAAATGGTTTAAGGATCACGTGAATGTAAATAAATTCAAGTAAATTCCAAGTATGCAGCCTCTTCACACTTCGACACTCTTTAATTACCTGTAAACAAAATTCTTAACCCGCAACTTCAGAGAGTCTTCGCTTTCCGAACATTTCTGTTTACATTAACTTTCTGTTTACAGTAACTCCATTCTCAGAACCAGCCTTCTATGGGCCAGTTTTATTTCATCTCTTCATATCCAAGAAATCGCAGGTCTCAGTAACCAAGAACTTCTTCAGCTGGTAAGAGTCTTAGGTGGGTGGCCCAAGGAGACACCAGAGTTCAAATCCCACACCATAATTCTCGCCCCAGAGAGAGCGCGAAAGAGAAATAGAGCAATATAGGTCAAACACGGTCAGCATCACCCGCCTTCATATACAACCCCTAGAGATGGCCTTCAATGTTCCACATGGCCCTAGGCTTTGCTTTGGAATTTGGCCCGCAAACTGCTAAAAGGACTCTTTGCGGAGAGGGACAACAGGCTCTCTAAAGCTTATTCACTGAGAGGCATTTAAGAGCTACTAATTACCTTCAATGAGATTCACATATACAACCTGGCATTGGATTTGCATAGAAACTCTCCTCGAACTTTGGAAACTCTCCAGGCTCCCGCATGTAGGGCCCACCAACCCGATCCTCATGTAATTTTCTCACCCTATTACTGAACTCTTCCCACGAGATCTTGCCCTTGTCCAATGCATCAATCAATTCTACCAAATTTTGCCTGTTCAAAACAAAAGTAAACCAATCAATCCTTGTAAACCGTTTTTTGGCTAGATAAAAATGTCGTAACCCTTCACAACCAAAACAAACCAGAACAAAAATGTATTTTCTTTTGATCAGTGGGAAAAGAAAAAGAGTCCAACTACTAGGGGTGATGCTCTATTAGTATGCTTTGCGATTTTTTTGATGGAAAATTCTCTTGGACAAGGGCATTTTCAGAATTTCTGATAGCAATGAAAAGGGATGATATTGTAGTAACATTTGCAGAATGCTAGCCATTGCCTGATGCAAAATGTTCATCATTTTTGTCCACAACTAAGGAAAACATCCACCCTACAGTAATTTGGTGCGTGTACTGTATTCCAATAGGGGAAATTGTACACTTGCTCCCTCAGGCGAAAGAGCTACTTGATTTTCTTAATCTGAGATTACAAGATGAGAATTTAAAAAAACAAAAATATTTAAAAAAATGAATTCTTGAACACCTAAATCTCACAGTCCAAAAAAGGGACCCTCTGTTTTCAATCATATGGCATGTACTTTTTTGGCAATTCTACAGTGCATATTATTGTTGTTGTTGGTGATGATGTTGTCAGATGTTGTCATTGTTGTTGTTGTTGTCGTATTGAACAGTCTTTTCAATTATATGGCATGACTTCTTTTTTTGCCAATTCTTGAGGGCATATTATTATTATTGTTATTTTTTTACCAATTCTAGAGTGCTGTTCATTATTTTTGAGTAGGCTACATCCCCCGAAAATTGGAGTCCTAAAATACTCCTAATTGGGCTTTTGTTCGGATAAGAGTGAACCCTATCCATGTATGTTTTATGTGTGTGCGTGCAATGGGCAAGTAAACCCCAGCCATGAATGTCTTTTGTGCATGCAAATGTGCATGTGTGTTTGTGTATGTTAGTGTGAAAAAGAGAGACTAAATAGATCATAATGCTCAAGACTTGACTCACCGGTCTGGGTTTATGGTTTTCCTAAAGTTCTCAAAACGCCGGTGCCCTTGCACAGCCTTGGCCATGTTACCATCATAGGTGTAGATAAAGACATCACTTTGGCGGGCCACAACATAGTCCAACCCAGCAAGCATGTTCTGATGATTCCTGAAAGGCCTTAACTCATCCTCTGTAGTGAGAGAAGAATGAGAGAAAATGTTTGGGAATTCTTCTCTCAAGTATTGCATGCTTCCATTGCCATAGGCTTCACCAGCCACCAAGTAGATGTTGGTTGTTTGAGGGAAGCCCAATGCCTTTAAGAGAAGGGAAGTCTCTCGAGGAGTGAGAGGGCAACCCCCCTGTTTTCTACGCTCAACCGCGTCTATTTCTTTCTCTTTCCAATGGCTCACCTCATACCTCATTTGGCGGAGCTCTTCACCTTCCTCCTTGGTCAAGTTATGGCTGCATCCTGTGAAAGCTAGCATGTCCTTCTCATACCTATATAGATATAGAGAGAGTGAGAGTGAGAGAGAGAGATCAAACTGTAAACTTTAATTTCTGTTTTGTTATTAAAGACAAGATCCATAGATACTAAAACAAAGAATGAAACAAACTAATAATAGGAAAGAACAAAAGGAGATATTGCAGAAAGATAAATGGACTTAAAGAAAATAGAGGGAGAAAAATCACAAATATCACTAGAAAGAAATGAAGAAAAGCAAAAGTTAAGTACTCCAAGAGCACTGAACTCTCAAAAGTCAAGACATACATCTTTTCCTACTCAAGACAACTGCAGCGTCTAATTTAAGTATTTACTGGCAGAGGTAGATTCCAACTTTTACCAAAAGCAGTAACAAAAGTTCTTAAAAAAGAAAGGGCCAAAAACACACACACACAGAAAAGGGGGGGGAGGAAGAGCAAAGACCAAGAAAAGATATGAAGGCCATAGCTTACCTGAGATGTAGTGCAATATAGGGGCTTCCACCCCTTCGCATCCTTGATACCAGAGTATTCCCAAGCTCTTCTATTGCAGCTGAGTACTTCAAAGCATGATAGTTTACTCGGCACCTTAACTTCTGTATTGAACTTGGAATCCCATTATTGGCAAGCCGAGAATCAGTATGAGTGAAGTACATAACTTTGTGTTGCTTTAAAGAAGGGAGGACCTCTGATTTGTAATAGCTGACCTGAATGAGAGCGTCAGAGTGTCATTATTGAATTAGTAAATTCAAAAGTTAGCATGTCTTGGTTGAGTTTGAAATTTGATTAGTCAAATGTAGATATCTGGTTAAGACGATCTAGTTAAACAAGGGTATTATTCAGCAGCTGATGGCTGACTAATTAGTCCAAAAATTTTGACTAGGATACAAAGAGAGAGTGCACCATGATAGCATATGAGTTCAAAATCAGCTTGCTAGCAATTGCTCAACCATCCAATAAGAAGAGATGGTTGAGATGTCTCAATCCTACACTAAAAGTCCATCAAAAAGCATACTGTTCTAAACACCACTGGTCGTCAAAGTATGCAAATCCAAATACATAGAGAATTGAACGAGTACTTTCTGTCCTTGATTAACATGGTCAACTAAGAAGTGCAGTGATTATGGTATACTCTCTCTCAGAGTACCAACCACAGAGAAAGAGAGAGGCAGTTAGGAAGATAGATAGAGAGAGAGAGAGAGAGACAGACAGACAGAGAAGGAGGGAGAGAGAGTAATCAATTAACTAACATTAAGCAATTAGTAGACCAATAAGGAAAACAGGACAAGCAAAACCAGAGACCTTGGACCAAGAAACAGGGGTTTTCTTGAAGGGCTCAATCCCAGCATAAGCATCAGGTAATCTCTCCACTATGTCAATATCATCCTTGAGTGTCTCAATGAAATGTTGCCAATCAAACAAATCTTTGAAGCCACTGCAAAGAAAGAAGGATAATAGCCAAGAACAATATCAGAACTATTAAAAAAATCAGGAATCCATTGCCTGCCATGCCTAAGTATCAGAAAATTATAAAATAAAAGAAAAGAACTGAAGAATAAGAGTTTTTATAATGAGTCAACCAAAACTTAGATTAAGAGGAGGAAGAAGAAATAGAAACCTCTCATCAGCCCAATAAGAAGTGTGGTCAAGAGAGGGGAGGACAAGAGTTGCCTTCATGATCTTTGCAACAGCTACCATGTCACATATCTGCATTCTAAAGAATGATTAATGAGAGTATTGTGGTTATAACACTTTGAAATCAGCCAATTCTATCGAAGAATAAGGCAAAGAAATTGCACCCCAAATCTCATCTGATTCAAGCCACCATTAGCATTTATAAGGATATACCCATTTGTCTTGGATTCAGATTCTGCAAACAAACAGAAGGATGAAAAGTTTAGATCTTGCAAACAAACAGACGGATGTATGGTTATATAAATGCAGGTGTATTCTATGACTGTGCGCATGTATAAATATGTATGTATGCATGTATATACATGTGTCATGCAGCTTATGACATGATAGAATGGAACCCAATTTGTGGCAAGATGTTAAGACTTCAAGCTTCAAAAATCTCCTCATACAAACCACCATTCTGATTATACATACATACATACATACATATTTACAAATATAAACATATGTATTTACGTGTAATATGTAGCAACCCTAGTGCTGTGATCCTTATCAACTCACTTTTGGAACTTTTTGGCCTATCGATGCATTGTCTGAAGCTTTCAGTATTTGGCGTGGACCAGAAACTAGGAAGCTGAAAGGAAAAAGGAATCCCCATGATTAAACCAAAAGGATAACTAAATAAGCGAAATACTTAAATAGCTACATTTTCAAAAGCTGACCAATACCCAATTAAAAATAACCAAATAAATCAACAAAGTCTTGATGTCCATCAGAGACGAAAGATATTCATGCAATTTCACCTGGCCAAATGAGCTTTCAATTGCAAAAGACGTGACAGTTAATAAAGTACGTTCATTTTCAATCCCCTCTCTTAGTCCATGGTCATGGGACCTTGGAAAGCCTCGACTTGTGATGGGTGTAACTGAAGATTCCTGATATTAAAATAAGACAACGCATAAGATAAAATTCTCACTTGACGAAAGTTAACTGCCCAACACCAAACCAAACTAGAAAAAAAAAGATCCCAGGATCCATAATAACATGTATATAACAATATCGAAGTCTGATACTTTGTTCATCAATGACAAAAAAGTTGCGAACAGTTTAAAAATTGCCCCGTTTTATTTCTACCCCTCTAAATTTTCATGAGAAAATGCACTTAATGATGAGAGCAACACAAGATAAATGAGCATTAAAGACTAAACTCTTAGATTTATGCTGTGAAATCGAAAGTAGATAACATTACACTCGTTGTCCCAAGATAATGAGATTGATTGTTTTCCTAAATCAAAGTACATTCCTGATTCATATATTACAACAATCTAAGACACCTATATCAACTAAGAAAGGTACCAAATGCAAACAAATACACCAAGAAATCAGATCATGAAAGAGAAACAAACCCTGATGTTTCCTCTGCAAAACTATAAATTATGGGGTTTTGCTATAAGAAACCATGAAAATCTTCTCAATAGAACATCCCTTGATTCACATATCGCAGTAAACACATAAAATTTATGGATTAAGAAGTTGTAATCAACTAAAGAAGACCAAATAAACAAAAAAAGTTAGAGAGAGAGAGAGAAGCAAATTAGAGTGATACAAATCCACCTCTAATCCTTTGCCAGAACGGTTCAAAGTAAAGAAATATAATTCATGTAAATATCCAATCTGCACGCCCAGAGAGAGAGAGAGAGAGAGAGAGACCTGATGAATACCCAAACTACTGGACCCAGATCCAATCCACCATGAACCCAAGATCTTCAACACACCCAACAACAAGCAGCCCACACAAAATACGAAGAACATGAAATGACCAAACTTTCTCTTACTACTTCTCTCTCCATAATCATTAACCCTGCTCTTCTTCCCCCCATATTTTCCAGACAAAGGGGATCTCTGAGAAACTCTAGAGACATGCTTCCTGTTCTCCGAAAAAGCCTCCCCTTCTCCCTCATCAACTCTAGAAAAATTGCGCTCTGATCTTGGTGATTTCAATTGGATTTCTAAATCTAAGTTATTGCCATTTCCTCTTTTGAAAGAGTGGGTTCTTCTGGTTTTGGGTTCTGAGTATCTTGGGCTGTTGTTTCTCTGAGAAATGGCAATTCCATCACCATTATTTGGTTGAAACTGAAAACCCATGATTAATTTTTTGTGGGTTTTCTTTTGCAGGTCGCCAATGGACTAATGGTCATGGAGAGAGAAGGTTTGATGGACATTGGACAGTTCCATAACCGGACCGGACTGGTTCTCTGTCATGGCTGTAAAGTCGCAGAAATTAACGGGAAATAATGGAGCTTCTTTCTTGCAGCCCCCAAAAGCTGGCCCTTTATGCCGGCAAATGTGAACTATAAATTCCCACACTAAGATCACTTCTCTCTCATAAACTCTCTCTCTAAAATCTCTCTCTCTAGAATCTTTCCCCTAGAATCACTCGACCACTCCTGACGCCGCTTACTTAAATACCGTGACTGGATCACAGGTCTCTCTCTCTCTCTCTTTCTGAAATTCTCTCTCTGGTCTTAAAATTCACTCGCAGGATTCCATCTCTCCCACAAATTCTCAATACCTCTTTCCTCCATCACATACTGCCCGCCATTACTGACTTTATAATGGAGGCTTCTACTTCCATATAAATTCAATACCCTTAACCGCAGTGACTAGTAGTCTCGTACTACTTATGGCATAATGACAAATATACGGTTACTTGTAATTTCTTATATTTGTTAAAAAAAAAAAATACGATGGGGTTTTTATAAGGCCCAGGCTTTTTCAAAACAAAATAAACTCCCCTCCCGAATCTTTGAACATAAAGCACTCTTAATAAAAGAAATCTCCATAATAACTCTAAAATCAAATTTCAATACCCACAATGAAATTCAAAATAAAAATGGTCTTGATCTAGTGGATCTATAACGCTCAAATACCTATGACTTGCCCTTTTCTATTTTTTGAAATCCTTTTTTTTTATTCACAACCATAATGTTGAATCCACGATCTGATGCTTGAATTGCAATTTCCATTGAGTTATGGGGGTGAGTCTTAACTTGCTTTGACAGAGCTACAATCCCATCTAACTATTTTCTAAAAAATTATAGAGCAGTCAAATAATGTATTTATTCATTTTTATCATCTTTGTAAATAAAAAATATGCTTTTTTTAATTGTGACTTGCTTTTCTTTAGGAGTCCGGTAACTATTTGGATGATGTAAAAATCAGGAATAAATTTTAAAAAATTTCCATAATTTTTTTAATGAGTAATTGGCAGAGCTAGAAATGAACTAATACTGGAAAAAGGTCTCAAAAACTTTTCATAAGCTTATGTTCTTTTCTACATCCTATAATTATTTTTTAGCTTATAATTTTATACACATTTATGACTAGCTCTTTTTTAAGAAATTTATCAAATAAACTTAAAAATCACCTATTTAACATTTCAGCCATTTTCAACTATTCTAACTCGTAATCATTATTTTTTTATGGGATTCTTTAAATTAAGTAAAAAATGGATGAAGTGTTAAATAATCATTCTCTTGAGTATATTTTGAAAATTTCTTGGGACTTATGTTTTGAATGAGCAAGGTCATTTTGACATGTTCTTAAGAAAAATAGAAAGAAACCTAGTGGAATTGACATGGTTTTAAGAAAAAATACAAAGAAACCTAAGGGAATTCTAAATTAGGTGCGGTTTGTATAGAGTTGAGGCTCTAAACATTCAAAGTAAGGCGCACCTACATATAGTATCAAGAAATGTGGTTTCAACCGTGGAAATCTTTAATTATAAAATTTAAAGTTTAAAAAATAGTGTAGATCGAGCAAATCTATGAAAATTTAAAAATCTTTAAATTTGATGGTCTAAAAATACGTTACAAGATGCACTATTTTCAAACTTGAAATCCATATTTTTCTCACGTCCGTACGTCTTTATTGTCGAGAAGATCAATTTGAGGATATTTGGGCATCAAAACAACCTTTTCTAGTGAATTTTTTGAGGTGGGCTCTAATTTGATTGTTTAGAGCCTCGACTCTATAAAAACTTTTTCCTTCCAAATTTGGGAATATACTACTCAAATATTAAAGAACAAACACTGAAAAGTCTACTTTTAGTTTTAACTAAATTCACCAAAATGACGTGTTTGTTTCCGTGGTATTGAAGAAGCCATAGGTACTCTTGAAGTTATGAAAACTTAATAACTGCATGGAGTGGTTTCTATAAGGTTCAACTTTAAATAATCCAATTAAGGCGCACCTCTAAATTACATTATAATATGTAATTTTGGTATAAACAATTTTTTGGATTATCTCAAAATTTTATTTTTATATTTAATTATAAAATTTTAAACTAAAAAAATCAAGTAGATCTATAAACATCTGAAAATTTCGAAAATCGACAGTCTAGATAATGTTATACAAAATGCACTATTTCTAAGACTCAAATTTTTTTTTTTTCCATATTCATATATCGCATTATCGGGATAATCAATTAGAGGGTTTTTTTAACATTAAAACAACATTTTTCTATGGATTTTTGAGTTGCATATGTAGTTCTACATTTTAAGGTGGCAACCTTATATAAACTTTTTCCACAACAGAAAAGATACTTACCTACTATTTCCCCTCTCTCTCGCTATATTTTTATATTATAATATTATTTTTAATTGTCATTCAAACTTTAGCACATCTTTTCATGAATCTTGAACTAATATTATATGATCATGCTAGGGCATTCTTTATAAACAACATATTGTATCATGAATCTTGAACTAATATTATATGATCATGCTAGGGCATTCTTTATAAACAATGTATTGTATCATATATTTTGCCTGAGCGTATGGCTCTGGTATTGTCCCTAATAAAGTAGAATGATGGAACATAATTCGTGTAATCAACCCTAAGTAATTGGAATAAGGTTTAGATGATGATGAAATATGATAATTGTTATATTAGTATTATTGAAGTATTTTAAAACCCATAATCAAATCCCATATCATTTACTAGCCAAACGGATTTAGATCAATGATTTTGAACCATTCGCACCGATTTAACTACAAGGGACTTAAAAAAAAAATTTGCCTTGTTATTTAGAATAATGTATTTGTGGCTGTAAAACATTGTTCTTGTATTACTTAAGTTTGATGAATTTATAGGGTATGGTTTGTGTAAGGCTGAGGCACTAACCAATCAAAGTAAGACGTACCTTCATGCAGTGTCAAAACATGTTGTTTTAGTATGAGAAATCTTTGTGATAGTCGGGACATTTATTTTCATTATTGACAGTCTAGACAATACATTACAAGATGCACTATTTTCAATATTTGAATTCTTCTTTTTTTACATGCCCATATATCTTGAGGTCGAGAGGATCGGATTGAGGGTTTTTTAGCATCGAAATAACCTCCTCTAATGAATTTGTGAGTTGCACCTTATTTTGATCGTTTAAAGCGTGAACCTTATATAAACTTTTTCTATATTTAAAATACATAATTACAACGTGTTGATTTCACAATATCGAATTGAGTGACTAAATACTAAAGTAGAGTAAATTAATCAAGACAAAGTCCAATACTTCTTGATAAATCATGAACAATTTGTGAAAAGTAAAAACTCATAATGCAAACTCTAACCATGACAATAACACCCCCCCCCCCCCCCTCCAAAAAAATCTAACAATGATTAAAAATATAATTCTAAAAACCAATTTTCAAATAAGAAATTGACATTTTTCTCAATTTTTCAAATTAAATATACATATTTCTCAAAAATAAATCACAAAACAATAAAAAAAATACGCAATGTAGCTGCTGATCAGAGAAATAAGGGTATTATAGTCATTTTCGATTTCCACGAAATATTCCTCTCTGGAACCTTTTTATGTGGCGGCCGGACGCGTGCCAATAAATTATTATGTGGAATTATTTTCTACAAATTTAAAAATCTTGGTTTTTGGATTTTTAGAATTTAAAATTATTTTTGGCGTTTCATTTCTGGTTTGTAGAGAACCACGCGCTGGGTGGTGGACACGACTCATGAATCTAATGACTGGGGTCATGGACCGCCGGCACGTGTGGGGCCCACATCTGACGGTGGAGATCAGATCTCAGAGTGGAAGCCATGTGATGGACTTTAGCTTTCGACACACTCACACAGCTTGGAAGAACTCAATCTCTCTCTCTCTCTCCTCTTTCTCTCTCTATCAGCTGCTCATTTTAATCTCTCTCAACACCATTACATTACCAAATAACAAGGATTGTAATAGGATTCCTAATAGGGGACAAAAAAAAAAAAACTTTTTAATATAAGATTGTAGTTAACAAAAACATGAAAACCCAAAAATGTAGAATAACGGTCCCTCCAAATGATTAATGAAATAACAAAAAACAGGAAAAAAAATATAAAAATGTGAAGTTATTCAAACTTCTATATACACAAAAAAGAAAAAAAAAGAAGGAAGAAGCAAGGTAATGCTTTGTTGTACCAAACAATATGTATAAGCAAATTTAAATATTTAACCTCATCTCATATTCTCAGCTGCCAAAATATTTGGCTGAGTGGTTTTATAATGATGTTATTGATGGTTAATATTTTTATACTCTACATATTATTTTGGAGAGATTACTTATTGAAGGAACCATTCCTCGTGTTTTTTTTTTAAGGTAAGGTGTCAACTTTAAATTATCGAAGTAAAAGTAAGTTGCACCTCAAAACTATGTAAAAAATGCAGTTTCAATGCCGCTAAGTCTTGCAAAGAAAATATATTGTTACCCCCAATTATAAAATTTAAAGTTTAAAAAATAGCGACCATCAAGCAAATTTATAAACACTTAAACATATTGAAAATGGATAAAGATGAATGATTTTTAAGACTATAAATTCCCTTGAAAATGGATAAAGATGAATGATTCTTAGGACTATAAATTCCCTCTATTTTTTTTCATTTCTATAGTCGAGATGATTGATTTGAGGGTTTTCCAGTACAAAAACAACCTTCTAGTGTGTTTGTTAGGTGCATCTTACTCGTACAATATAAGGTTAACACCTTATCTAAACTTTTCTTTTTTTTTTCAAATATAATTTTAAAGATAATTTGTTAGTGAAAATTTGGATGGAATTTTCTTAAATTAAGTCTCAATTCCATCAAGAAAAACCAAAAAAACAATATAGGAAGTGGCAATTTGAGAAGAGAGGCTTTGATAGGTGAGTTTAGAGAGAGAGAGAGAGAGAGAGAGATTTGTAAGTGAGTATTGGAGAGATGTAAGGAAATGAAAGGCGATGCCATGTGAATTTATGTAACCATAGAGCGAAAGTGAAGAGAACGTCTCAAGTCATTCAACATCAACCGGTTTGCAAATTGATATATATATATATATATAATGAAAAAAGTTAGACTTGACGGTAAATAAAGAGAAGAATGACTTAAATTCCATGTTCATCACGTGGACCAAGACGGTTGCTCCAACATAACGTACAAGATTCAAAATCAGGTGTGGAATGTACAGGTCGGATTTTTAGTATTACCACCCACCCTTCCCACAATGCTTAGACCTCCTAGGTTTCGCACGTGCCAACCAAGGGATAAGCCTGTTCCTGCAACAGGCGCCATGCGGCGGATACGTGCCGCCGCTCTGTGAGCGTCCCGCCGGCAGCAAACCGGATGATGTACACGCCGCATGCGTCATGTAGGCCAGCCCGGTCGAGTTCACGGCCTCGAGTAGCGCCTTGTTGAGCTCCTCGCCATTGTCGGTCTCCCACCGGGACCCGGTTGGTGGTGCGAGCCTGAAGCACACCATGGCGAACGTCCTCGGCACGACGATCTCGAACTGGGGGTCGGCGTTCATGAGCCCCTCGAACTGCTTGGCCATGCGGACGTGGCTCCGGAGGTTGCTCACCCCGTAGCTCCGGAGCACCATCCTGAGCTTCAGGGCCCGGAACCGCCTCGATAGTGCGATCTGCCAGTCCTTGTATTCCACCACCATCTTCGACTCTGTCGCCTTGTTCCGTAGGTACTACAGCGATTGCACCAGGGCGTCGGGGTTCTTCAACCAAAGGCAACAGCAGTCGAGGTTCGTAAAGAACCACTTGTGCGCGTTCATGCTGTACGAGTCAGCAAGCTCGACCCCGTCAAGGAAGTGACGGAACTCCGGGCATATGCATGCACTGTCGACATAAGCGGCATCTACATGGAGCCAGACACCGAAGTCCCCGGTAAACCTGTCGAGGCCCTCCAGGGGGTCGACGGCGGTGGAGGAGGTGGTTCCTATTGTTGAACAGGCATAGAGGGGGACGAGCCCGCCCCGCTGCCACATTGACAGCGGGCGAGAGCCCAAAGTTGCAGGCTTTTGTTGTTGGGACGGCACGAAAGTTGTACCGGCAATCTGCGCTGCCTTCTGGAGGGCACAATGCGTCTGGTCTGAGGCATAGACAACAAGTTGGAGGGCACAATGCGCTGCCTTCTTCAGCTTTCGATCTCGGGCCGCTGCCAGGGTGCAGAGGATGGCCTCGCAGGTCGTCCCCTGGAGGACAACCCCGCCACCTTCAGAGAACAAGAAAGACTTGGGAAGGCACAACATTTTACCGATCCAGTCAATCACGATGCTCTCGAGCTCGGTGGCGGCAGGTGACGAGAGCCAGTTGAAGCCCACGGTGCTCAGCATCTCTTCAAGGATATTCTCGAGGGGCTCGGGGTTGTAAGGGACCGAGTCGGGGAGGCGGTGCCCGAGGTATCCGGGCTCGACCTCACTACGCACCGGGAGCTTCTACATCTTGGTAGTAGTCGGCGACCATAATATGGGCTTGCTTTCCCAAGTCCTTAGAGGGTCTAGAGGGTGGGGTGCATCCATGACAGAGGAGTCGAAGTTCTCAGGGGTGTTGGTGAAAATTTTAAGAAAAATTTCTTAAATTGAGACTCAATTTAAGAAAATTCCATCAAAATTTTCACTAATAAATTATCTTTAAAATTATATTTGATTAAAAAAGAAAAGTTTAGATAAGGTGTTAACCTTATATTGAGGGTGGGGTGCATCCATTACGGAGGAGTCGTCGAAGTTCTCAAGATGTCGGTGAAAGTTTTAAGTCAAAGCTTTCACTAACAAATTATCTTTAAAATTTACTTGATTAAAAAAGAAAAGTTTAGAGAAGGTACGAGTAAGGTGCAATTAAAAAACACACTAGAATGTTGTTTTTAGGCTGGAAAACCCTCAAGTCGATCATCTCGACCATAGACATGAAAAAAAATAAAGGGAATTTATAGTCCTAAAAATCATTCATCTTTATCCATTTTCAATATTTTTAAGTGTTTATAAATTTGCTTGATGATCACTATTTTTTTAACTTTAAATTTTTATAATTGGGGGTAACAATATATTTTCATTGCAAGACTTAGTGGCACTGAAACTGCATTTTTTACATAGTTTTGAGGTGCAACTTACTTTTACTTCAATAATATAAAGTTGACACCTTACCTTAAAAAAAACACACGAGGAATGGTTCCTTCAATAAGTAATCTCTCCCAAATAATATGTAGAGTATAAAAATATTAACCACCAATAACATCATTATAAAACCACTCCGCCAAATATTTTGGCAGCTGGGAATATGAGATGAGGTTAAATATTTGAATTTGCTTATACATACTGTTTGGTACAACACAGCATTACCTTGCTTCTTCCTTTTTTTTTCTTTTTTTTTTTGTGTATATAGAAGTTTGATTAACTTCACATATTTATATTTTTTTCCTTTTTTTTGTTATTTCATTAATCATTTGAAGGGACCGTTATTAAACATTTTTGGGTTTTTATGCTTTTGTTAACTACTATATTAAAAAGTTTTTTTTTTTTGCCCCTATTAGGAATACCATCCTTGTTATTTGGTAATGTAATGGTGTTTAGTATTGTTGGTGTTGTTTAATTGTACACTTCCAATTAATCCATCGCATGATTTATATATTGACAACAGAGCAAGCATTGACATTACATTTAATGAAAATTTAGACAAAAATTTGTCAGGTATTACCCTAATTAGTACTAGATAATAACATAGAAGTATTGTTGAAGGACTTTAATACATTCATATAATAATTGCAAATCATAATTTAATCTAATATCACCTTTGTATATCCATTTGTTCACTCCATTTTTGAGCCAAATCTGAAACATTCGACTCTTTTAACTTAATTTTTGGTGATCTGTATTTTTTACCCAATTTTTTGCTTCCTACTTTTTAAAAGAAAATCGATTTATTACCGATATTTTAGTTTGCCGATTTATTACTATTCCCCAACCTACTAAATATGATCTATATTTCACACACACATACACTCAACATCTACAACTTCCCACTAATAATCTTTCTATCTCATCCCTTCTCTCTCTCTCATGTAGATTGTGAAATGTCTCTTCTCTCTCTCTTGTAGATTGTGAAATGCTTAAGAGACAAAAAGGTGCTTTAAAGATAAATGATTATGAAGAAAACGAAATGATGATACATAATATTTACAGGCTTAAAGGAGTGATTCCAACTGTTTTATATCCAAGTCATCTTCTTGAGGACCATCTCTCTCTTCTGATGGCATCCTATAAGCATCTGCCATGGCCTTACCTTTGTCCAGCACAGCTGCTGGCACTGTTTCAAGAAGGCTAGCAACACAACACTCACAGTTAGAGAGAGAGAGATGCATATGAAGAGAG